ACTGAATCTGAAGATCACAGCTGGTAGAACCATCACATATTCCTGGTTTTTACCGGAGGCGCATCTCACAACGACTGGAAATTCAGGAAAAAAAAAAAAAAAAAAAAAAGCAGTGTTACAAGGAGTTTGATAATTCAAGTTAAATATAAGCTTATAGTATATTTTGCTAAAAATGTTACAAGTAGTTAAAAGCAGCAGAGATCAGCTGGGGAAAAAAACCTGTGGTTGCATCTGTTTGTTTGACCATTTTTGTATTGTTTAATTGCTGTATTAGTGGTGTTTGCCTACTTAAACCAGTCGAACTATATTCCAAATCTTTGGCGCATTTCGAACAGTATTTTATTAGAGACTAACAAAAAAAGTGAAATCTGTGGCCTTCAAAGAGATGCCAGTGCTTTTCTTCAAATCTCAAAGTGCTTTTACAAGCTGCAGAGTGAGACGTTTTGGCTTGTTCAGCTGAGCAAATATTTACTTATCATCCCAGATATGCGAATCGTCCAAAAATGAAATTACAGCAGTCGATAAATTAAACAAATAAAAAAAATAATAATAATGAATGCGATGTGGGTTTATGTGCTGTGTAATGCATGACACAAGGACCTGTCAAGCCCTCCTGGCATTGATTTTTTTTTTACATTTTATACCACTTCCTGCGTGGAGCACTGTGAGCATCTGATCCCCTAATCTCAGAATGCCAGCTTTCACTCAATGTCATCTGCCAATGAGCTGCAACCAGGCGCCCATCCTGCCTCTGGCAACAGAACTGCACCCATCCAGCTTGCGAGCGCTAATACCCGCCGTTGCCAGGCTACGGCGAGAGGAATCAAATTTTAGGTGGCTTCCACAGCTGTGCTGCACTGTCGTGCACCGAGGGACGTACATGGCAGCGTTCCCGCTGTGCACCTGGATGGGATGAAACGGGAAGAAGTGGAGGAGTCTCAACTGCTAGCTGCAGCAGAGGCTGGCTAAACAGAAGCTGTGTGTATGGAAACAAAAAGGATAACATTTCACATTATGAATTTTCAGATTTCGATGTGTGTGCTTTACTGGCAGCATAAAAAAGCCTGAGAAGATGGATCTGAAACTGAACCGATATCATGAAAAGCTGAGAGAATTTTGTGATAAAAAAAAAGATCAAAAGCAATCCTGCAAATCCAAGCAATGTACTCTTTTCACCAGTTTATTGCCTCACTGAGTGCTCTTTGATCTGATCTATGAGACAACAGGGTTTCAAACAATTCCCAGCAAACAGCCTCTCCTACAAGCCCCAACCCCACAAGAAAAAAAATATATATATGAAGGGCTTCTCCACAGCTGACTTCCTACATCTTAGTCTCAATGCAATCAGTGAGCTGTGCCGCTAAGACATTGTTAATTTCACAGGGTTCACACAACTGTCACAACATCTTAACAATCGGCTTCAAACGAGACGCTTTCCAAAAGGCTGAAACAGTAGACCACATGACCTGGACGACATGACAGGGAAGCGGTAACGAGACCCAAATAAAATCTAAAAATGAAAAAATAACAAAGGTTTTAGGTTGTCTAAATCTCCCAGTGACTATTTTAGAGACTGCAGAACTGCTAAACTTACAGAAAGTTAAGAGTTGCTTATGTTAAATCCCAAACACAAGTTACCTTACATAAAAGCATCATTTAATGCTCACAAAACACACCGGTTCTTCTAACTAAATGTAGCACATTTTAATTAGTCTCCAATATATAATGTGGAGAGCATTGAAAGCTAAATAAAACAAATCCCCAGTATTCATTCACATGATTAAATACCTAAAATCTGGGACAATTTTAATTAGAAACAGCCAAACAGGGCTTTAACAAGCATGTTTCTAAGCAAAACAGACCCCCTTCTCTGTAGTTAGCTAGTATGCTAGAGACTGTGCTAGCATTGCTAACCAGCCAAACCTACAGTTGGAGAGCTGTTCAGGGTTTTGTAGATAAGGCATGAATCAGTTTTGGGCAATACTCATACTACTCAAATGACAAAGATACCTAAATGCTAACAATGCTAACTAACGGGGTCTAAACTAAATAGTTAGCAAACATTAAGAGTGTTTTTTTTTAGCAATGCTAAGCAAACATTGTGTCAGTTTTACAAAGAATTTAGCAAAATATTACATCCAAGTCATCACTCCTGCCCCACTATTAAATTTTTAAAAATACATCTTTTTGATAATGGGATTTATTGAAAAAGACACACAATGGAAGCTAAGGCTAACGTAATGGTAAACATGCTAATTAGTGAGTCACTTTGGGCGTAAGCAAGTTTGCCAATTTTAGATGTAAAACGACTTAATCTCTATCAAATTAAAAATAATACCATAGATTATAGTCAGCAAAAAACTATATTTTATTTATACGCACATTAGCAGCTAAATAACAAAAACCCCTCTCACCTAGCTTCAAATAAAGATTAGAAATGGGGTTAAACAGCCACCTAGTGCTACATACAACATTCCTACATTAATTTATATGCCAAAACATTTTCTTCCAGTATTTAGGTTTATTAGAAATCAGCTTTTTGAGTGAGGAGGCGTTGTATTTTATAAAAACACAAAATCAAATGCATGCTTAGCAGTGGGCTATGGCTGTCTAGTTTATATAATATAATGGTAGAGTACTAACACCATTTAAATTTATATATATATATAAATAGTTTCTACATTTTTAATAAAATATAGAAGAAGGCGTTCTGGTTGATGTCTTGCTGAAGCTCAGAAGACGACCCTACGCTCATCTGTATGTAAAATAGCCAGTTTCTTATTGCCTTTGCTCTTTTAAAAGTCATTGAAATATCCCTTCAGTCTGTGAAAAAAAAATTACATTTTCATTCATCCTCTACTTTTGCATTCATCGATCGAAAATCTATGTGCGACTTCAAAGCCTGACTTAACCAGGGGGAGGAGAGCAATTGCTCAACACAGGCTGCCAGTGCGGACTAATAAATGCATAAATACACTTTAATTTGAAAACGGGCCAAGTTTCTGGACTCTCGGATGCACCCCCCAACCCCTCCCAGAACAGTCCTCGTCCTCGGCTGCGTTTTGCTCTCCCACGCACTCCTCCAACTAACCAAACACCTTATCCTTGATCCGTTTCCTCAGAAGCAAACAAAGGGGCACTTAGCCTCGCCATCGTCGCAGCGAGACGTTGGGATCCATTAGAGATTGAACGTTTCACTGACATTTCGTTCGGCTGATCCTGCAGAAAAGAGTAAATCCATCCCCTCCTCCAGCCCCTCCTCACCGCCGTGAACCCAGAGACGGATGCCGATGCCACTGTGCTGCCAACGTGATGGAGCTGCCAAAAAAAAAAAAAAGTCTTTTCAGTAGCCATTTTTTTCAAGTGCACAATCTCAAGAAAACATTCTATAACACAGAATGTGAAATGGCATAAAAAGAACATTCTCTGAAACAAAAGGAAGACCTTAAACAGCCTTCACCAACTTCTCTTTAGATAGCAGAAGAACCGATCATGGCCTGGAGGAACAAAGAGGTATTTACAAACCTAAGAGTGACCTTTCCTCGCTGCAGCACTTTTTGTGGGAGTGGGTTGCTTTTTGTGTGTTTTAAATAAAGAAAGGCTGCCACATTGAGGGGGAGGATGCATCTGAAATCTGACAGAAATGTGAGCAGCTTTATTGATGGTAAAATAATGATTAAAAAAAACAAAAAAGCAGCGCAGAGCTAAAAGATGAGTCTGAAACCATTGCTGTCAAAATAAATAAAAATAAATACATTTCGGAACAAAGAGAACAAAAAGGGCCAATATGTTTCAAATCTACCATCAGTGATTTATCTTTGCAGGCAGAAATGTGCAAAAGCACAGACTGAAACAAAACCCTTTGACGACCTTTATCCAGATAGTTATAATTCTCAGATCATCTAAGAAGTTTGCAAACGCGGCGCTCAGACGTGTAATGCTGCTAGTCAGCTGGAGGGAGCACCGTTTTTAAGCTTCACTAAATATTTCCTCCATAAACTGACATTTTTTTGTTTTTAAATGTCTAATTATTAACTTTTAAGATAATTCGCTGTGAAACTGCTTTAAGTGATAGTGCAAATGTCTGAATACTTAATATTTCCATTCAAAATCCATTGATTAGCTCATTTGAAAGTGAACTTGTTGCGCCAAAGCCAGTGGAGTGCAGCAATAATCAAAAACCATGCGCAGGCAATTGCATTCTTTAGATAAAGCTGTTGCTATTTAATTAATTTGATTGTTTTGTAACTTACGGTAGTATTGAACGCAAATGCAATTTGCTCTGATGGATTGATAATAAAAGCTCATTAGCTGATTTATTGAGAAATAACTTTCAGAAGTAATTTGCTCGTTTAAGACGGTGAAGAACCGTCACCCACAGCAAATGGAAACCCGATAAATTTAGTGAACATAAGGTGAAGGGTTATTCTTAGCCATAATCATCACTACTAGCATGAGGGTGTCATTAGAGGCAGCAATAGGTCTGAAGCCAAGTTAGAAATATAACTAGATAAATAAACTTCTTTAAGACTCTGGGAACAAATAAAAACCCAGAAATTATAGAGCATTTATTTTGGATTTTCTGTGTTTATCATTATTGGTGAAACCTTTATATCATGCTGGGTATTAATGAGCAATATTAGTTTATATAGTAATATTACTTGCTAGTTAGTATTACCTTTCACTCATTACGTTCTCATATCAAAGTAGTAATTTCAAAAGTGCTAAAAGTTCTTTTTTCCTTTTAATATAATGTATATTTTTAATGAGATGCAAAAAAAAAAAAAGATAGCTGGAGCTGAATGGAGCCAATAGTAACACAGTGCGGACCCACCCTGCTGCTGCGCACTGCAGGTCAGCCGACTGAAAGAAAACCACTGAACTTTTGCTTCTTTTCAAAATAGAAAGATGCATTTGGAAAGATTTCACAATGTGAAAAAGCAACGCTCTCAAACAACGTCCTCGCTCTGAGCGGCATGTTCGTTACAGAGACAAATGCAGGCTCTTCCCAACCAGATGAAAGCTAGCATTTGCTTGTTTTGCACAATTAGGTTGTGAAAACTACAACTAAGTTTAGCTGTGTTCATTTTAGTTTACTGTCGACTGCTCATGAAAATTACAGGAAATTTGAAATTATCATTTTAACAATTGTCAGGTGAGGGTTTTTTTTTTTCCCTAAGGACTGTCATAAAGTGGTACTGTGATATTTTGGGTTATGAAACAGTTTGAATCTTATACTGTCTGCATGCCACTTGGTACATTACTCCTCCTGTTTTATAGCCACAGTTTCAGTCCTCATGGTCAGGGTCTTGTGTTCTGCCAGTCACGGAAATAGTATTTTTGCCTGGAAGCATCCATGTTTTTGGATGAACAGTCAAATATAAATGTACAGGGAATTACTGGAGAAAGTTACAGACTTATAAAAGCAGCAAAATTTAATGGCATTCAAAATGTATTTATTTATCTCAAAGGATAAATAAATGTTTCAACTCATGTCATCCAAGTATCTTCAAAGAATCGCTGATGCTGTGGGCAAATAGGAGCTCTGGTAGCAGTCAGTCTCGCAGCAAATCTGAGGAAGCCTCTGACTGAAGGCTGTTGCTGAAGGATGGTCTCATGACTGTCATAATATCTCAACAGCTCAAGATCATCCAGAGATGATATTTTACAGCATCATGTCCAGGATGATTGTAAAGCACTGCTAATCCACCTCACTTGCTTTTGCCACTCCTCTTTAAATCTCTGTCTGGGTGTACAGTCGGAAAGCTGGAGTTGGAGATATGATCAGTGTCTATTCCTCCTCCTCTCTCTGCTCTTTGGTTACGCTTTTCATCTCGTCTGGGAATTCGGGTCACAGTTCAGGTGTTATCCGAGCTTTTGAGATGCTACTCATGAGCTCCCAGGTGTAAAAACAGTAACTTGTTGCCACGGTTACACGTCAATCCATGATTCAGTCAAATCAGAACTAATGTAGAAGCGCTACATCATCCATGAGCAATTAAAGAGTAAAAAGTAAAAGTTATGTGCCAAAACTTTGTAGTGACAACCACTATTTTTTTTCGTAATACTTATGGCGCCCCTGCATTCTTGCCACCCTGGAAGGTGCGCCATATTACCCTTCTGCCTTTAACATTCACATAAAAATCCATTTTCTCCACTTTGTTAATTTACACATTTGAACACAGCTCACTCAGATACATTTAACCGTTTCTGAGTAGGACGAGTCTCTTGTTCCGTTTGTCCGCTCATGTTTCAGCCTTCGTCGGCGCATACCTGAGCTCTGGTTTCAAGTTAAAACAGTTCCTTTTCATCCAAGCACACGCTGTCACCAGCTGAGACATTGTGTACTGTGAAGAAATATAAGCACAACCCGACACCAGATCTGCTTTCACTTTACGGTCAGTAAATCAAAAGTAAAACTCAGGATCCGTTTGGGGTTTGAAAAATAAGACCTATGCAAATTCAGGAGTGATTTAAATACTTTCTGATGGAAAAAGAAAGTTTGATTAAGTCATTGAAATGGCTTTTTTTTTTTTTTTTTTTAAAGGCATCTTTAACAAACAGAGACCACAGGCCTATGAAACCAGATATCCAATAATGCCTGTGGGAACTGGCATATCTACAGACTTACAAGCTTTTCTTTCTCACACACACACACANACATGACAGGGAAGCGGTAACGAGACCCAAATAAAATCTAAAAATGAAAAAATAACAAAGGTTTTAGGTTGTCTAAATCTCCCAGTGACTATTTTAGAGACTGCAGAACTGCTAAACTTACAGAAAGTTAAGAGTTGCTTATGTTAAATCCCAAACACAAGTTACCTTACATAAAAGCATCATTTAATGCTCACAAAACACACCGGTTCTTCTAACTAAATGTAGCACATTTTAATTAGTCTCCAATATATAATGTGGAGAGCATTGAAAGCTAAATAAAACAAATCCCCAGTATTCATTCACATGATTAAATACCTAAAATCTGGGACAATTTTAATTAGAAACAGCCAAACAGGGCTTTAACAAGCATGTTTCTAAGCAAAACAGACCCCCTTCTCTGTAGTTAGCTAGTATGCTAGAGACTGTGCTAGCATTGCTAACCAGCCAAACCTACAGTTGGAGAGCTGTTCAGGGTTTTGTAGATAAGGCATGAATCAGTTTTGGGCAATACTCATACTACTCAAATGACAAAGATACCTAAATGCTAACAATGCTAACTAACGGGGTCTAAACTAAATAGTTAGCAAACATTAAGAGTGTTTTTTTTTAGCAATGCTAAGCAAACATTGTGTCAGTTTTACAAAGAATTTAGCAAAATATTACATCCAAGTCATCACTCCTGCCCCACTATTAAATTTTTAAAAATACATCTTTTTGATAATGGGATTTATTGAAAAAGACACACAATGGAAGCTAAGGCTAACGTAATGGTAAACATGCT